AGCAAACTCTAACATCATGTCACCTGAATTTTTTGGCATGTGGTTCTAAAAATGGATTCTTAAAAAAACAAAGCCATAAGCTATTCAACACCCAGCGGGTACCCAACACAAAACCCTGCACAGGAATGTTCACAGCAGCGTGACTCATAGTAGCCAAAAGGTAGAAACAACCCAAATGAATGAACCAAGAGCTAAACAAGATGTGCAATACCTGTATGATGAACTTTGCTCTGCAATAAGAAGGAATGAAACACCAATGCATGCTACCACATGGATGCATCTTGCACATGCTGTGACCAGTAAACGTAGCCAGATGCAAAAAGCCACACATGATTTGAATCCACTTACAAACTGGCAAACCCATAGAGACAGAAAGCAGACTAGTGGTTGCCAGAGCCTGTACTAATTGCTAATTAGTATGGTTTCTTTTTTTTAGAGTGAAGAAGCATTTCTGAAATTAGATAGTGGTGATGACGGCCCAACTTTGGGAATGTACTAAAAGCCACTCTATGTGACACTTTAAAGGGGTAAATTTTATTATATGCGAAATGACATTAAGTCCTCACTTAATGCTTTTGATAGGTTTCTGACAACTGTGACTTTAAGTGAAACAACATCTCATGAAAGCAAAGTTCCCCTAGGTTGATAGAAAAAAACAGTCACGTTCCTGGGATAAATTTCTAGTCACAAAAATCAATCTTCTAAATAAAGACCCAAAATAGCCCTAGCCAGTTTTCTCAATGGTTAGAGCCTCGGCCTATGGACCAAAGGGTCTTGGGTTCGATTTCCATTCAAGGGCATGTATCTAGGTTGCAGGTTGGCCCTGGTTGGGAAGCATTTGGGAGGCAACCAATCAATGTGTCTCTCTCATGTTGATGTTTCTCTCTCTCTCCTTCTTCTCCCTCCCTTTCACTCTCTCTAGAAATCAATGTCCACTGAAGGGCCAGATACTCACACACCCACAGGGGCTCAGACTGGGACAATGTAGAGATGCCATTCACCTCAGGTGCACATCTTCGGGCTGTGGGGGAAACCAGCGTCCCCAGAGAAAACCCACAGGCATGCAGAGAACACGCCAACTCCACACAGACGGTGGCCTGGGCTGGGGATCCATTTTTTCTCCCTCATCAACATTATAACAAAACGATGCTGCATGAAACAATGCCTTTTGAGAACCTGCTGTATATGTCCATTTCTAAAAGCCACAATGTCATTATCAGGTCTTAAAAATGAATAATAATCCTCAGGGCTATCCAACACCTCATTGGGGCTATTCCCGGATTCCCTCATATTTTTACTTTCCTGTTTGTTCAAATCACATCGTAACCAGGCCCACACGCGACGTGTGATAAATCTTTTTAAACCAGAAGTTTCCTCTCCCCAACCATTTTCTTGCAACATGTTTAGGGGAGGACCTGGGTCCTTTGCATCTTCCCATAGGCTGTGTACTATTGCAACCCTGGAGTGGGGGACCCCACATTCTCAGCCTGCAGGGAACCCCACATCACCCCCAGGGGCAGCTGGCATGAGATGGCAGACGACTTACCAAAGAAATGGCATATCCAGGTTGGGGCTGGGTCAAGCGCGCAGGGGAAGGGAAGGGCTGGGCCTTACCTGCAAAAGGTTTGCGGAATGGATGGTGGTGGTTGTCAGAGACCAGGAGTCCCCAACACAGGCCCGTACCTTCCCAGGCCTGTACCTTCCCTCTGGGCCCACGCATCCTGCCAGGGCCCTTCCTGGTGCAGTGCGGGAAGGGGGGCGGAAACCTGAGTCTCTGTCCTCAGCCAGGTGCTTGGACCTGCCCCCGCCCACCAGGTGGACGCTTAACTCCCCTCGGGCCCATAAGGCTTTGCGGGGCGGGCTCTGCTATGCACTCTCCTGTAGGCAGGCCTGTGCGATGATTCTGAAAGAGGTAAATGTGAATTTGAGATAAACAAATGATAATTTTTTAGTAATAAGGGTGTCCCAAATATTTCATGGGACAAACCTACACTAAAAATTATTGTTATTTATCTGAAGTTCCATTTCTCTGGGCTCCCCTTTTTTTACTTACCCGATCCGGCAACCCTATTGGGGGTTTGGCAGGGCCATTGCCAGGTGCCAGGTGGGCAGATCTGAGGGACCAGCAGGATCTTAGGGAGTGCAAGGCTGAGGCTGTGGAGAGGCTGCTGGTCTGGGAATGACAGGTCTGGGGGTGCCACACCCAGCCTGCCTGAAGGGAGAATGGGTGTAGCTCAGGGCCTTTTCCAGCACCAGGTCTGATCACACACACGTCCTGCTCTCACTATTGAACTCTGTGCCAAGTGCGCCTTCCCCACGGGATAAAGAGCAGAACATTCGTGTGGCCTGAACCCAGGCATGGGCCAGCCGTGCCCACATCTCTTGCCTCCCCAGCTGTGGTCCGGCTGCAGGACTCAGCCACATCAGTTCACACTCAAGCTCCTGCCTCCTGGTCCAGGGCGTCTGATGACCCATCTTGGGGGAAGGGCTGGTCACAGCCCCCAGTCCCAGATGTGTTTGCCCCAGGTACAGCAGTATGGGGCCCACGGTCAGTGCTCAGGAAACAGCCAACTAAGCTGGATGTGCAGCACCCATTCCTCTATGAAGACAGCTGCCCTTCAGTGGGCGTGACTCTGGCATGAGGCTCACCCCCTTGTTCTGCAAGGCCCATGGGGGTTCCTAGGACCCCAGGCCTCTCTGCTGATGACCACGAGTCTCTGTCACCAAGGCCACTGTTCTCTGAGCCCCTACTCGGAGGAGGCATTTTACACGTATTTTAGTCAAGGCAAAACCCCTGCTGGGTGGGGGTAGTTAAGGCCCCGTTTTACAGATGTGGAGATGGGGTCAGAGAGGTGAATCTCCTCCTCAAGGCCACCCAACCAGGGAATGGTGAAGCCACTTTCCCAGCCAGGCCTGCCCAACTCCAGATGTTGACCTTCAAGGGCCTTCCAGAGGCCAGTGGCTGCCAAAGCCTGGAGCCCCTCCCCCTGAGTGGTTCTGGCTCCAGAGCCAGGGATCCGAGATGAGCTGCCCCTCACAGCTCTGCTCCCCAACCCCCTTCTGGGCAAGACGAGCAGAGGGTGGCTTGTGTCCGGATCCCAGCGGCCACATTCAGTGTTACCCATGTGAGGAGTCATTGGTATTTCTAAAAGCCTCTGATCCCAAGAATTCTCCAGGGCCCTATGAAAAGCAGATTCCCAGGCCTGGTCCCGGTGATTCTGAAGCCTAGAGCAGAGCCCTGGAATCTGCCTCCTAACCAGCAGCCTCAGGTGAATCCCCTGCAGCTGGTTTCAGAGTCAACGGTGAATTCCCTGGAGAACCTCGGGCTCTCAGCCCACACCCCGAACCCCGCAGAGACTTCCGGGCCATCCTGGTGTGTGGGCAGGAAGGGTGCTTTCTCCTGGGAGGGGATACTGGGCCGCCATCGGCATCCTCAGCCTGTGCCTGGGTGGACAGGTTGGGGGTTGGAGAGAACGGCATGACCCATTGCTCGTGGGGTGAGCTCCGCGTGCTGGCAGCTGTGGGTGTTTCTCGAGGCACCCGTAACCCGATGGCTGACAATGACAGTTGGTCCCCAAAGAGGGCTTCCAAAGGGGTTTTCCTTCCTCTTCACCCCGTTGGGGACTCTCTGAGCCCCAACTTAACAGATATCAACAGCTGGTGGTTCTCAGGAGGGGAGAAAAAGCCCCTAAATGTTCGCCAACGGCTTCTCACCTCCACCTGCCCCCGCAGCTCCTCCCAGGCAGCGGGGGCCCAGCTTCTCAGTATGACACTCCTTCATACCAGCTTTGGGCTAGTCAGCCAGCAGCCTTTCTAGGAAACCAGGCTTTGGTGGTTTAATCCTTACAGGGCGAAGGGTGGTCCAGAGGCCAGCCGCATCAGCACCACCTGAGAGCTCACTAGAGCTGCAGCACCAGGCCCCACCCAGACCCCCTGCCCCTTAAAGGTGACATTCTAACCCCACATGCCCCCCCCCCCCCCACACACACACACATACCTGCGGGCCTTTTGTGGATCTGTTGAGGGAATGAAGGGGAACCCGCTCAGAGATCAGAACTTGGGCAGCTCTGCTTCCTCCTCCCCTCCCGGTCACATCCCCGGCCGATCACTAGGGGGGCAGCAGAGGTTGAGTGTGTCAGATGCCTGGACCCGCAGCCCCTCTCTGAGTCACCAGGGATGGGGGACAGGGGCCTATTTCCTGTGGCAAGAGGGCAAAGGGCAGGACTAGGGTGTTGGCATCTGGACTCTCAGCCGGGCCAGGAAAGACTTTCAGGTGGCAAGCCTTCTCTCCTGGGAGAGGCCTGGGAAGGCCTTATACCCAGAAACACTGCTATTACTGCCAATAAGTGACTGGGTGCTCAGTGTGTGTCTGCACGGATGCATGCAGCTGTCACTGTGGTCAGCAGTGATTCCCCAGCTGTGGCTGCAGCAGAGTCTGCTGTAAAAGGCAGATTCCAGGACTTCACTCCTGGCTTCTGAATCTCCAGGGCCAGGCCTGGGAATCTGCTTTTACTAAGAAGCCTGGGAAATCTTGGGATCAGAGTGGGCCTGCCCAATACTGACATTCATTCATTCATTCATTCATGCACTCATTCACTCGCTCATTGGAAACTTACGGAACATCCACCTCATTCACTAATGCAGCCCCTGTGTTCCTCCCAGGATCACTGTTCAAGGTCCCCAAGTCCCCATCTGGGTCCAAATCGTTCCCTCCCTGCCACCGCTGTGTATGTGCCCCATCTCTCCTCTCCCAGTGAGTACCCGGGCCAAGAGCCCTCCAGGCTCCGCCCATCCCGCGCGGGGCGCCCACCTCCCAGCCTGCGACTGCGCTCTGGGCCGCGCGCCCCGCCCCCACGGAGACCTGCGCGCAGGCGGCCCCGCGGCCGCAGCTCTGACCCCACCGGCTCTGCTGCCAGTGGCCGGAGGGGCACCCCAGCTTTTCCGCGGCGAGAGGCGGAGCAGGAGCCTGGGGACCGGGCTCCAGGTGGGCTCCAGGGAGGATGAAGCAGGTAGGGCCGCGGGGATGCTGGGCGTGGAAGGATGCTGGTGAGGATGGGAGGAGCCTGCGGGAGCGCCGAGGGAAACTAGGAGGAGGAGGAAGGATGCGTGAGGCGGAGGCTTGGGCCGGGTTGGACCCCAAATGGGCATGGAGGTGGAGACGGCCTTGAGTCGCAACCGAAAGGGAGGGGCCGGGTCTGCAGGAAGGATGAGGGTAGGCTCTGCACCGCGGGCGGTTCTGTCACTCGCCTTTGGTGTCCCCCCAATCCCCACCCTCTCCTCCTCCCCCACTTCCTCCCCCATCCCAGGCCCTGGTGGATGATACTGAGGATGTGTCCTTGGACTTTGGCAACGAAGAGGAGTTGGCCTTTCGGAAAGCCAAGATCAGGTATGTTTGGACTGGCTTTGGACAAGCATCCCTGTCAAAGCTACAAATTCATTCCACGTTCGTTCGTTCATTCATTCATTCATTCACTCATTCATTCATTCAGAATGCATTGAGCACCTAGTGTATGCCGGGCTAGAGACACACCCTGGACAGATATAAGGCAGGAGGCTGGAGAGGTGGACGAGGGCTTGGAGCCTGGAGTCTGGGGTTGAGAGGGGGGGTAGCGGGGGGAGACCTAACATTGAATAGCAAACGAAGATATTTGGGAGGAAGTCAGCAGTGTGATTGAAGAAAGAGAAAGTAACTGGGCAAGATCACTTGCCTTAGCACCGTCAGGGAGGGCATCTCTGGAGAGGTGACATCTGAGCTGAGATCTGAATGAGAAGAGTTTCACCCGGAAGGAACAGCAGGTACAAAGACCCTAAGGCCGTGTTGGAAGGTCAGAGAAAATCATCTCTGTCTGGAGGGCGATGGGAGAGGAGAAGGGGGTTGGGAGGGGGCGGGAGAGGTGGACAACTTAGATTTGTATTCTAATCCCTGCTTTAGTTCCAACCAGCCAGCCAGCCAGAGTGTCCTGGGTCAAATCACTTCCTGCCTGAGGCTCAGCATCACAGAAGATGGCAAGACTAAGGTTTGAAAAATGAGCCACAGACGTGATTGCTGATGACCCAGCAGCTGCCACGTTAGAAACACCCACCCAAAGCTCAGCCACACTCACTCACCTGCGCCTCCTCTCTCCTTCCAGCCATCAGAGCCAGCGTGGGGACCTGGCACCTACATGCCATTCCTTTTACGTTCTCTGATCCAACTCTGATAAAGCTCAGAGCCGAATAGGACAGTCTTATTAATAGTTTCCCAGGGCCGCGGTAACAAATCCCCATAAACTTGTTGGCTTAAACCAACAGAGATGTATTCGCTGAGAATTCTATAGGCCAGAAGTCCAAATCAGCTTCTCGGGGCTGAAACCAAAGTGTGTCAGCAGGGCCACACACCCTCCAGAGGCCCCAGAGGAAAACCTGTTCTTTGTCTTCCCCAGATCTGGTGGGCTGTCAGCTTGGGGTCCCTTCTATCCTCAAGGCTAGCAGTGTAGCAACTTCAAATACTCTGCCCCATTTTTACATTACCTTCTTCCTCTGTGTCAAATCTCCTTTTGTCTTCGCTTATAGGGTTACTTGTAGTGCATTGAAGGGCCAGCTGAACGATCTGGAATAACTTTCCTATCTTAGCCAACTTACTAATAATCACATCTGCAAAGTCCCTTCCACCATGTGAGTAACCCTCACAGGTTTCGGGGAATAGGACCTGCATGTTTTGGGGGGCATTATTCAGCCCACCATAATGTCTTTAAGGAAAGACATTGTGAAAGAACTGGGTTCCTGGGGCAAGAATCTTATACAGCATCTAAGCTCAGTCTTTATTGAGCACCTCCTGTAGGCCAGACTCTGGGCTGGTGACTGGGACTGTGTGGAATAAGGACACCTCCCCCTGCCTTTATGAAATGCCCGGTCGAGAGCAGAGATGGTCAACCTCAACACTGCCAACATTCTGGGTCAGGCACTTCTTGCTGTAGAGGCTGTCCTGGGCATTGTAGGATGTTTAGCAGCATCTCATGCTTCTACTTACCAGATGCCAGATGCCAGAAGCACCCATCAATAATGTCTCCAGGCACTGCCAAATGTCCCCACGGAGGCAAACTTGCCCTCGTTGAAAACCAGTGGTGTGGGGGTATAGGGTGTAGGTATGCCCATGGCTGCTATGACCATGTTTCATGCTTGGGCACTTGTCCTGGGCAGGGGAAGAAGTGACAGCTGAGCTGAGGGGAGGAGAGAGTTAGCTAAAGCAGGGGAAAAGAATGGGTGTCACGTGCACAGGCCTAGAGTTAAGATGAATTTAGGGAGCTGAGAGTGGTTTACTGGGGAGCAGTCTGAGCAGAGATTGGGGGCCACACCCTGAAGGGCCTATATTTATGGATGTGTGATGTCTGTTAGAATGGGAATCTACTCTCTCTGTGCTGTCAGATATGCAGCCACCAGGCACACATGGCTGCTGACACTTGATCTGTGGCTGGTGTAACCAAGGTCCTTCCAACGGTCTTTTAGCATTCATATGCGAACTGCTGTTTGCTTTAGCATCTGACATTAAACAGCCACATACGGCTACCATATTGCACAGTATAGTTCTAGAGCTGGAATTCGTGCAGGGCAGTGACATGATTGGAATCTTAGCTGGAACTAAAGGATACAAGGCCGTGACACGGCATCTTCATTTCCTTGGGAGACCCAGCCGCCACCCCACACACATTCCTGGTGTCTGTTACCTACCTGGGCCAGGTTGGGCTGCCAGAGGCCAAGGCCAGGATGTTGTGGGCCACCTGGAAGCCTAGAAGCTTCAACCTCTGTTTCCTGAAAACCTTTGTATGATTCTGTTCACCGAGAACCATGGCTGCCTGCCAGCCCAGCTCCTCCAACCCAGGGGCTGTTCCATGCAGGTCACTCCCAGGTAAGCCTGGTGCTTACCCTTTGTTTACAGCGACCTTGAACAAGTCAGGGCACCTTCCGGATCCCCGTTTTCTTATTTGTAAAATGAGGACGATGTTAGTCCCATCGTAGGGTTGTGTAAAGAGGACTAGATCAAGTGACAAAAGTATGTAACAAGACCATTGGGAGCCCTGACACGTCATGCGGGCTTCATACCTGTTATCTGACCCCAATGGGGCTTCTGTGACCTTGGGGCAGAGGCACATCCTCAGCTGGAGCAGGACGGCGCCCTGGGGTTGACCTTGGAGCGGGAGACTGTCCCTCCTGTGGCAAGTTTGTTTATGCTTTGAAGGCACTAGCTTCACAAATTCATTTAGACCCAAAGGTCATGGATTTCAGTGGATTCCCACCCAAAGCAGGATGGTCTCTTGCCTCAGACAGGTTTCTTGGACCTAACTTAGTTAGGGTTGGTTTGGTCAGCGTTTCGTGGTTGGTCCTCATTCAGCCCAGGGGCCATCCAATGAAAAGAATGCCATGGGAGTGACATGTTAGTGGGGACCAGGTCCCTAGGCAAGACTTACAGGAAATCAAAACTACCTTTGCAAATCCCTAACCAGCGTCTCAAGTAGAATAACATTTTGTCTTTCAAGCAGTCTTGCATGTCAATTTATCTTCCCACGTTGGATACAAAAGCTGTTCCTCAAAATGAGCTGCTGATGAAATTGTTGGCTGTTTTAGGGGAAGTGATTTTCGAATGAAAACAGTAATAGCAAGCACTTGCCTAGCACTTATATGCAGGCACTATTCTAGGTGTTTTGCTTATTATAATTTATTTAATCTGTATTACAAACCTGGAGGTAGATAACATGGTTGTTATTGGTTTCAGGATGAAAGAAATTGAAGGAAAGAGTTGAGTGACTTGCCGAACGTCACACAGCTGTGGGAGGGTGGGCGTTAGGCTCTAGAGCAAGCATGTCAAACTCAAAGTGAACACGGGCCAAATAAACAAGGTTTGAGTTTATGTGGGCTAAAAAAAAAAAAAATCAAAAGCTTCAATTTTCATAGAAATGTAGGTTTATTTCGATAGAGATATGCTGAATACAAAGGATTAAAGTAAATAAGCATTCTTTAACATAAAATAATAGAACATTTTAATACAAATTAATTTTTTTCTTGAACATTAACTTACCAGACACTGAATAACTGCTCAAATTAATGAGCATGAATGCAAATAAACATATTTTTCTTGTTCTCACAAAGTGAAATATTTCCTGTTGCGCACACCAAACAAGTCAGTTTAAGACTAATGACGTGGCAATTGGCTGCTAAAATATTCACTGCTAGTATTAGTGGAGAGAAATGGTGCGCCTGCGCATAAGGTATTTAAGAGAAATGCAACATAATTATAGTAATCAGTCATTATCGAAGGTTCAGTATTAGTAATTATGTATAACAGGATATTGTAAAAATTAAGTTACGAATTTTTATTAAAATGTTTCTTGCATACTGTTACGTTGGCTGGGCTGCAAAAATATTTGTCGTGGGCCACATGTGACCCGTGGGCCACAAGTTTGACATGTTTGCTCTGGAGTCCAACCTTATATTACACTGTGCTTAGGAATGACATAGGGGTGAGCCCTGCAGGGGTAACAGTATTCCAGGGCTTCAGTCTTATGACTCACCCCCTCCCTTTTTAGAACAGGGTTCTAAGCCTTGGCTCTGTTTCTCTTTGGGGCTGGGTAGTCCTCTGTGTGGGGCCATCCTGTGCACTGCAGGGCTTCACAGGGCCCCTGGTCCCGACCCACTAAATGCCAGCAACACGCTCCCCCTTTCCCAGAGTTGTGAGGTGAGATATATTCCTAAGGGTAAAGTGGACCCTGGTTGAGAACCCTGACTTAGGTTATTATCTCTTTCTTGGGTGTGGGTATGGATAAGTAAAATTTGCATTCAAAGGAACTCCTTGCATTCCTGACACCTCTGTGTTTAACACTGACCCAGGGAAGCTGCTGGGGTGGGGGACAAGGAAGGAGAGGGGACAGATGTTACATTCATGGCTGCCCATCATTCTCAGAAATCAACATAGGCATGCAGACACACGCAGACATACACACAGGAATACACACAGGCACACACACACAGACATCATGCTCCCACACACCAAAGAGAAGATTTTGGTTATTTTTTGTTGTTATTCCCAGGAAGTCTGTTTGCCTCAATACGTGAGGACCCCTTATCCTCTGGATAACATCTGTTCCCACTGACTTTGGGGAACAAGTCATCTTGCCCCTCTCCCACTCTAAAAATGTATTTTAAAAATATAGAAATATGAGACATAAGCAGGTCTCACCAAAAGCTGATTATTTAATTTTAAGGAAGGTCTATGGTTACCAAGGAAAAGAACCCATAAAATCAGGGAACTAGACAAATTTCAGTTCTCTTTGATTAGGACACGGAATTACACATTTTGAAATTAACTCCTTATATTTACAGCTGTTTAGCTTCCTCTTATTTATGTTTTTTTTT